ACAGTGTGTAGGTGCATTGTGGGAAGTTAAAATGGTGGATGCAAGCACCCATTATTACCAGGTAAGCCAGACTACTATATAGTTACTACCTTTGTTGCAAAGCAATATATAACGCATGCTTAGAAGAAAATGTTCCACTGATTTCAGGGGAAGCTATTCCCAAGTAAGGACCACAGCCACAGGCAAACATCTGCAGGGCTAACTGACATTTATGAAGTTTGCAGAGTTATGAGAGGAAGCAAGGCAGGGTATGAGTCACTGTGTCTCCAGCAGGACCAATCAAGTTTCACGATAATTGGTCTCGGATGAGTTTCTGCCAGGATCCTGCTGACTCCCTCCTGATTCCCTTGCTCTAGGCCACCTTGAGGGCAGATACTATCTATAGCCTGTTCTATTGTACTAGTAGATCAGAAACCAAATAAATGTGAAAAGTAAGGGATTTCCACCAAACAAAGCTAATGTCACAGCAACAAGTTTCCACGTTGAGGCCATGTTAATAAGGTGCAATAAATGAAGGTTGGGGGTGCTAGACCTGCCTGCCTGCCATGGTACTGGTATGTTTTGCCAGTGGGAAAACAGATTATGAGTAAACATGCAGAGGATTGGACTGTGGAAATTACTAGCTGAAAAAGACAAGTTCATGGGCGCAACTTTGTGCAGACTTGGGTATAGAAGCCATGGACAATTCCATCCGTTTGTTGATCAGGTGGCTTATGAGAATTTCTTTCAAACCAACAGAGAGATCTTGTAGGTATGTTTCCCACAATCTCTGTAAAGGTGTCAGTGGGAGAACAATCCCAGCTCCCAGTTTGGGAGGAGTAAGTAAGGGTGAATGCAGCAGCAGGACCACCACTACTGCTTCTGAATCAGAGCCCTGCTGTTCATGCCAGCTGGGGTAGAAGCTGGGGGGCAGTGTTTTTCTGAATGTTTGGTGTGCCACCTCCAGACTATTGCAGCAAGTCCCTTTCCAGCTGCTGGACCAGTTTAGGATCCAGTGGATCCTTGGCTGCCCCCACCCTGTTCTGGGACCTTATGCCACATACCGTTGGTGGTAGCCTATTAACAGACCACACCACTGGCAGGTGCAGTGGGGATGTTTGCAGCGACAGCCACCTCCCCGCTACCTGTGCATCCAAGCAGCTGAAAACATTTGCCAGGTCCAAACTCCCTCCAGCAAGGGATATCAGAGGTTAGGATTGCTCTGCCTGCCTTTAAAGTATACAAAGGACTTGAACTGCAATCCTTAGGATGTTTACTCTGAACGATGGGGCCATTTGAGTCCAGTGGGACTTCCTAGCAAATCTGTTTGGGACTGCAGCTTTCCTTGCCATTGTCTGTGATAAAAGACCTTTTAGCTGATTAATCAATTACAATATTTATTACCAACACAAAATCCTCAGGCAAGGTGCCTTTTACGGTGACTGAAGGAAGTGTGAAAGAACCATATGAGGGAAGGCCATCTTTAATATTGTTATGAAGGTTGCACACAAGTTACAATCTCTGCTGAGCGGCAGCAAGTTTCCAGGGCGTTCCAGGAGCTTACCGGGGTTGTGTTTCCATAGGGAATCAGGATGCAGCAGAGACTGTTGTGTCTTTAAGAATGGCTTATTAACACATATTTACACCTGGGTCTACTTTGTAGAAACTTCAGAGCATTACATCTCAAGAGGAGCTTGTTCCCCCAGAAGTGCAGCACTGGATTTCTGTGTTCAGTTTTGGGCAACACAATTTAAGAAGGATAAGCTGGAATGTGTGCAGAGGAGGGTGACCAAGATGATCAAGGGTCTGGAAACCAAGCCTTATGAGGAACAGTTGAAGGAATTGGGTATGTTTAGCCTGGTAAAGAGGAGACTGAGCGGAAATATGATGACCATCTTCAAATATCTAACAGGCTGTTTACATGGAGGGTGAAGCAAGATTGTTTTCGAGGACAGGACCCAAACCAATTGCTTTAAGTTACAAAAAAGTAGATTCCAACTAAACACCAGGAAGAACTTTCTGACAGTAAGAGCTGTTCAACAGTGGAACTGAATCCCTCAGAAAGTAGTGGACTATCCTTCATTGGAAGTTTTTAAGCAGAGGTTATCATAGGTGATCTAGTTGACATTCCTGACCCTTGGGTTCCCTTCCAACTTTAAAATTCTATTACATTAAAAAAAATAAAAATCTAAGAGGTTTACAACATATCTTAAAACACCACAAAATACAAATGCAACATTGCAACATATCAGAACTGAATATTAGGGAATAGAATAAAATACAGAAATAAAAACCCACATTTCAAAGCAGCATAATTAGCTGCAAAAACAGAAACATCAAAGACATTACAAATAAAAATCGAACACAAAAGTACAATAGAAATCCCACATGTTAAAGCATCATTAGCAGCTTTGCACTTACTTCCACAGTAACATTTCCAAAGCACATCCTTAGCAGTCCTTCTACATACAGACCTCTCCCATAACTATTCCCCCCAACCATGCCCATAACAGTTAATCCCCAGCCATCCACTTGTCACAAGACAAACAGCATTGAACATAATTTACAACCAGCTCATTCACCCACCAACAATGCATTAGCAATGATGAAATTGAATACATCTATGCAATCCTGAATCAAAAAAAGTATCTTTGGAGAATGATGCAAGCATGTAATAGTATATATATATATATCCATAGATCTGTTTGTTTTTTAAGTACCACTAGTTAAGCTGGGACACTTGGATACCTGTCCCTTTCTCTCTGATGTCTCTTTTCATGATAAGCTGTTCTAGTTACTGAAACAAGTCTACTTCAGGGGATTAGCCTTGATTAAGGTGTGCAGTTGTGATTGAAAACTTCTCTGCCAGTCATAACAGTCTAGACTGCCAAGGAAAGCTGAAACTGAATACTTACACAGGGCCCAAGAACGTCTAGTGAACTTTCAAGAGCAAAGATGAAACGTGCAGTAAATAACAAGCATTAACTTTAAAGGCTTCCCTTCCCCTTATTGATTATTAATTCTCTTGAAGTCAATGGCTAATTGTATCAGTGATATTAATGACCTTCTTTCAAAGGAGAATTCTGAAAACAGCAGATTATAAAGAGACACTCCAGAGTTCTATCTATATCTTTTCCCCGTGGGGTTTGAAGACAGTTTGATAGATGGAAGATGTCTCTTAAGTGAAGGTTGATACTCAAATTGCAGCACCAAAGTGATAATTGAATACGGGTTCCCATAATTGTGGATACCCCAATTCTGGATAATAGCAAACCTCCACTTGCTATGTGGTTTGGGTTGCATGTCCAGGGGGCCCACCACAAATACTGATGCCAACATGTCAATAATCACTATGGTGGCTGTCTGCTGGTTATAGGACAGCAGTAAGTGCCATCTGTGCTCATGTTTACCATATGACTGTAGAACTGGACTTCAAACACATAGCACGGGGGTCAGCAACCTAAGGCCCATGGGCCACAAGCAGCCCATGGGGGTTGTTTAACTGGCCCACGGGCAGCCCCCAAACCGAGATGCCTGCTCGGCAAGTCCCCGCATGCTGCGCTAAACCACTGGGTTTAAAACATGCATACACCATCTTAGAAAAATATTGTACAATCTTTTTCCGAATAGTGAAATCATTAGGCTAATAAGCACCAACTTGTGCTGTGTGCCTCTGTTAATGTGTCAGCTAACAGATATGATTTCCAGAGGGCCAGACACGTTTGTTGTTTTTACTGCAGCACAGACTTAGGCACAGTGTTAGGACCCTGTCTTAGGACACTACCTCTATCCATAGGAACCAGCTTAGACCCTGATATCATCTTCTGAGGCCCTTCTTTGTGTGCCTCCTCCACAAGAGATCTAGAAGGTGGCAACATGAGACGGGCCTTTTCTGCAGTGACTCCCCGTCTGTGGAATGCTCTCCCCAGGGAAGTCGGGCCGGCACCTTCATTATACACCTTTAGGTGCCATGCGAAAACATTCCTCTTCAACCAGGCCTTTGGCTAATTAACAACTTATACCCCTTTTAAATGTGTCCGTGGCAGGGTGTGGCGGGAAGAGAAGTTACTGATTTGTAGGATTTTTTGTTCCTGCTTTTTTCATGTATTTTGTGCTTTTATGTTGTATTTTTATGTTGTGAACCGTCCTGAAATCTGTGGGTGAAGGTTGGCATACAAATTTAAGAAACAACAACGACAAATTTTATTGGGAGTCTGCTTCATCAGATGCTTGAAGTGTTATTCTCAGCTGCAGTGAGGTCATTCCCTCTTACAATCTTACACGCCCCTCCCCACCTCCATGTATCTATACCTGCAACTGAAGATGGCACTTCTTGCATCTTTTGAGGCGGACTGTACTGGTATTGAAGAAGAAGAAGAAGAAGAAGAAGAAGAAGAAGAAGAAGAAGAAGAGTAGTTTGGATTTGATATCCCGCTTTATCACTACCCAAAGGAGTCTCAAAGCGGCTAACATTCTCCTTTCCCTTCCTCCCCCACAACAACACTCTGTGAGGTGAGTGGGGCTGAGAGACTTCAGAGAAGTGTGACTTGCCCAAGGTCATCTAGCAGCTGCATGTGGAGGAGCGGAGACGCAAACCCGGTTCACCAGATTACGAGTCTACCGCTCTTAACCACTACACCACACTGGCTCTCTTAACCACTACACCACACTGGTATCTTCCATCACAGTCCAGCAGTGATAAAGGCAACTGTTGTAGGTTTTGTCTTGCCATGCTTTGATTGGAGTATGGTCCTCTTAGTCCTACTTGGGTCTTAGAGCACACATGTGCTACTGAACATTTTTTTTTATTTTTTCATATATTTCAACTGCGTCATACCAACATGGCTACCTACCTAAATCTAGAAGCATTTTCAGCTTTAGCACAGAGCACAGTGAAATACAAATACATATGAAAAAATGTGTTTGTTGTTGCAGAACAGGGAGCATGGGGGGTTCATGGTGTGCCTTCAATCTTGCAGCCATCAGAAAGCTCCTCCAAGCTGACACAGTTCCAGTTCCAATGCAAGCTAGCTCAGTTGGTACAGCACGCAACTCTTCATCTCAGGGTTGTGGGTTTGAGCCCCACATTGTGCAAAAAGATCCCTGCATTGAAGGAGGTTGGACCAGACAACCTTACAATCCTACAATTCTATGATTCTTCTGAGGTGAAGAGGGGGAGCTCTCCATGAATCCAGAAATATGTGATTTTCATCTTTATCTTCAAAGGTGTTGTCACCTGCCTAAGGTTTTACCTGCCAATTAAAGCTGAACAGACTGGCTTTGATGTTGTAAGTTGACTAGAAGCCTAGAATTGTCATGCTGCTTTCCTACTGGGTTGGGGAAATGCAGAGAACTCAAAGCCTTTGAAGGGAAATTGTTGCATGCCCAGCTCCCATTTCCCTGTCCTGAGAGGCATTCTGGGTTCAGCATCCCTTTGGTGAAAGAGCACCGGCAACTTGTGGCACCTTTCTAATGCTTGCCTTATTTACAAATATTTTAATTTATTTGTTTATTATGTATTTAATTATAACAATATATACATGCTGCTATATCATTTAACATATCAAAGGGGTTTGAAATTATATCGATATATAAAAACAGATGAAATTTTGAGAACAGAGACTATCAGCTAACCATTATGGAAATATGTATTATTAATTGCCAATGTAAGATTTAAAGTTTGAAACAGGACTGTTGAGTCTCTACAAACAAAGCACAGGACTGGGCCAATGACACTAAAAGCTCTGTTTTGTGTTGACGTCAAGTAAGCCTCACACCCCCAAATCAACTTGCAGCTTGTCCTTAAAACTGCCAGCTCCTACCAACACACTATGTCAGGAGGGAGCCAGAAGTAAATCAAACTGTGCAAGCTGGAGTTAACTCTTTACAGTCATACCTTGGTTTTCAAACAGCCTAGTTCTCGAACATTTTGGCTTCTGAACGATCGAAACCCAGAAGTGACTGTTCCGATTTTCAAACGTTCTTTTGGAAGCCGAACATCCGATGGGGCTTCCATGGCTTCCAATTGGCTGCAGGACCTTCCTGCAGCCAATTAGAAGCTGTGCTTTGGTTTTCGAATGCTTTGAAGGTCAACTGGACTTCTGGAATGACTGTATTAGGAAAAACACAATCTGCACAGACTTAGTGGAGTGTCAGATCTAATGAGCACAGTACTAGGTAGGTCTTGTCCCATGGGTCAGTTGCTGAGACTGAAAGTCCCCACAGCCGTCTAAGCCCCCTCCTCTCCAGAGTTTTCCCCAAGCAATTGGAGAAAGCTCCTGCATGTAGCCAACCTCTTCATACATTTTCTGGTTCTGGGAGAAAAGGAGAGAGGGGAGCTTCCTGCAGTGGGGGGTGGGGGTGGAGAGACACCTGTGACTCTTCACCAGCCTGACTCATCTCTTCCTCTTGGCTTCCCTCCTCTGACTTCAGATTCTGCCTCTGATTCTGGACTTCCGTCTGCCACAGACTCTCACAGCTCACTAAGCCCTGTTATCTCTTCAGCTTCTGACACGTCCTCTTCCTAGTTTTGTCCTTCTTCTCCCTCTGCTCACTCCTCCCTCTTCTCCCACTTCTCCCTCTTCTCCCTCACGCCACCACTCCCTGGGCTCTGAACCTTCTTCCATTGGTGGTTCCCAAGATGGTTCTTCCCACCATTCCTTGGAATCCAACCAGTCCATGACACACTATCTCCCCTCATGGTCAGTGGACTTTGACCCATTCCTTCAGATGAATATATTTTTTTCATTCATGAAGAGCCTCAGCCAATAAGAAACACTAATGTTCTTTTCTCAGATCTCGAGATGGGTAAGAATTTCATTTGGTCTGTATTTTTAAGTGAACACACCTACCAAATTAATGCATAGAACAAAATATAATATATTTTGGTTTCACAATTTCCCAAAATTTATTCTATAGTTCTGGTTAAATGAACATCTCAAGGTATGAATTTTTGGGCATATTTTATTTTAGAATAGGCACCTTACTATATTTTGCTATAGGATATGTATTTAAATAGGTATCTTGTGATAATATGCACGTTTAAAAACATAGAGCTCCAAGGTTGGCATATTTTGTAGATCCTTCCCAGGAGGTACTCCATCTGACCCATAACATGCCTTTTTTGACCTTACCAACATCAGAGCTCAGCGATGTTGGTGGAGGAAGGGCTGTAAAACCCCAACTGTGGCATACATTTAAAGCAGTATTACATACCCACCGACATGCTGAGTCCCAAAACTGGGACACACATCTTCCCGTCCGTGCTCCCGCGCAAATCACATGACCCCCACAAGATCACAGAGCCCCAAAGATACACTTTTAGGGGGCCATTCTCCCACGGTACCCAAAAGCTTGCATTTTGGGATGCCGCATGAGATCATGGCCTTAAAGAAAGTGAGATCTAGGTGCGAAATTGCATGACATTATGGCGACCAAAAAGGCCATCATGCTCTCATGGGGAAAAACAGGAAGTCCTGATTTTTCCGGGACTCATGCGGGGTATAGTATTACAGTGGTACCTCAGGTATTACAGACGCTTCAGGTTACAGACTTTGCTAACCCAGAAATAGTACCTCGGGTTAAGAACTTTGCTTCAGGATGAGAATAGAAATCGCGCGGTGGCAGCAGGAAGCCCCATTAGCTAAAGTGGTACCTCAGGTTAAGAACAGTTTCAGGTTAAGAATGGACCACCAAAACAAATTGAGTTCTTAACCCGAGGTACCACTGTATACTATTTGTAAACAGTCATGACTTTTCCCAAAGAATCTTAGGAACAGCAGTTTGTTAGGTGCTGAGAGCAGTTAGGAGACTCTATTCCTCTCAAAGAATTAGTTCCCAGTGTTGTTTTAATGGATGTTGTGTTTTTTTCTTCTACTGCTTAGAGAGTTCTGAAGTATTAAATAGTTTAGAAATGCTTTAAAATAAATAAAGTTCCTTAAATCCTTGGCTTTAGATACTGTTCACGTGAACTTCCTATGGCTTCTTTATTGCATCTACATTTCCTGTTTACAAGAAAGGAACTAGACAGAATGTCTAAGTTAAGCTGACAGCATTCTGTTGGGAGACTGGTAATGCATTTTTCTCAAAAGGAAGATCACGGTCTAAAAGTTTGTCTCTTGCTCAATAGCCAGTAAACTTTCGAGACTGGAAAAGAAAAGATGGTCTGAATTGTGAAAGATTAGGCAAAGATTAGAAGAAAACAGCAATGCCTTTGGGACCCGCAGCAAAGCCTTAGATCAAAACTTCAGGCATAAGCACTACTAAGATATTTTTGGCTCCTGGGCTCACAGATATACCCTTTTTATTTGCCTTGGAGAATCCAGATGAAGGATAGGTCCTGTAAATGGTTATCTAATCTAACTCAGCAGCCTGTATATCTGTCTGAGCTGATACTGATTCAATATACCTAGTAGTCTTAGAACTACTTTATGTTGCAACACTGTCTTTGCACCAGAAATGATCCCAAAAGGAGTCTAAGTGGCAGATTCCTCAGAGGAAACAGTGGCGGGGGAAGGGGGTGCAGGCTGACCCAGGTGCCATCACTGAGTGGGGTGACAAAATGACAAAAATATGAGGGTGTGTTTTTAAAAAAAGTTCACGAAACTTTTTAGTTCAGTCAACAAACGTAACGACACGTGGCTGGCACTGGGCCTGCAGCATGCCCGAACCACGCATCTCTCCTGGGTGGGAATAACGTGGTGGCTTGGGTGCCTGCAGGCTCCGTGCTGCCTGAAACAGCAGCATGGGACTTGCGTCTGCCCATTGCCTCTCCCTCAGCTGCCCCACAGCTGAGGGGGAGACGGCGGAGAGGCTCCATGCAGCGCGCCCCACCCCCATGGGTGGGCTTGCCCTGCCCCTGGCTGTAGGACACGCACGCCTCACCTGGCACCCAAGCGGCCAGCTACGCCGCTGAGAGGAGACACTCCAAGGAAACCTCATGATGCATATGCAGAAATGCGAAAAACAGAACAAATCTCAAAGCCAACCTCAGATACATGACATCATGTGACATTGGAAGAAATTTTTGAGGTGACCCAAATTTCCCAAACATTATTCTGAGATTTTCTTTTTTCTACCTTCCCTTTGCAGAATATTCTCAGAAATTTCCCCACCAATTATTTTAGGGAAGCTTTTAATGTTTAATAAACTATTGTATTTAAATATTCTGTTGGAAGCCGCCCAGAGTGGCTGGGGAAACCCAGCCAGATGGGTGGGGTATAAATAATAAATTATTATTATTATTATTATTATTATTTTGTCTTGACTCATATTCCCTTTCCTACATTCCACACTAAGGTCCTGGAATAACGCTACGCCTGAGGCATTATGGAGGATGTAAAAATGGTAGTCAGACAGCCAACAAAGTTCGAAAAAAAGGAAAAAGTTTTGCTACTGCTGTTAATGGTGATCTTTACCTGTGAAGAACTATTGGGATAATTTCTCCTGGCCTAAGAAATATGGTTAAATGGTTCTCCACCCCACTCTTCTCTGTCCACAAATAAAGTGGAAATTTTTGCTCACAGATGATGAATAGCTGTTATCAGCCTTTGAAATCTGCCAAGTTTCAGGCTCCATGATCTTCCTTGCTTATTGCTTTTGACTTCCTTGTGAACATTAGGTAAAGTGTTTTTTAAATATTATTTAAAAGAGAATTCTGAAGTCTAGAGAGATTAAAGAAGCATTTTCATTCCTTAATACCTTTTACTATTACAGTTTAGTCAAATTACTCGATAATAGTTCCCTTGAGACAGAAGAGCTACAGTTGCAGAAAGATCTTTGTGTTCCTCTCAGCATTTCTTTCCTAGGGCAGAAGCCCAAGGATTTTTGTTTCTTAGCATTTCCCCGCTGATGCTCTTCCCTCACTTGCCAACATTTGTGAAAGCCGCTACAAATAAAAAGCTGATGATATTTTGTGAGACCAGCCATTAAGGCCTGGAGGTCGATGGCTTCTTCCTGTGAACACAATAGACCTGCTCATCTGGGCATGTGGTGGTTTTCTGGAAAGCCTGTGCCCGGTTTAGGCTTGCTGGCTATAAGGTGAAGATTTGCTATTAAAAACAGTTGCTCTGATTCCAGCTCCCTGTGTCCTTGCTT